GTAGCCGGCCGCGACCGGGAGACCCATGGGGCGGCGCACAATTGGCCCAGCGTCGTCCAGGGTAGGGGAGGGAATGCCCGGCAGGGATGTAGCTCAGTTGGTAGAGCATGGCGTTTGCAACGCCAGGGTTGTGGGTTTGATTCCCACGGGGGGCCAGTATGAAAATTAAAAAATAATGTATGCACTCACTAACTGTAAGTCGCTCTGGATAAGAGCATCTGCTAAATGATGTAAATGTAAAAATTTAAAATAATGTTGTTGCTCTTAGCTCTCCAGCCTAGCTAGCTAGCGGATGTCCTTAATGTGTTGTTGCTCTTAGCTCTCCAGCCTAGCTAGCTAGCGGATGTCCTTAATGTGCTGCTGCTCTTAGCTCTTAAATGAGATTGACTGGCCAACACTTCCTGCTAACAACAGACATGCAGACACTTCCTGCTAACAACAGACATGCAGACACTTCCTGCTAACAAAATACAGGCAAACACTTCATACTCAGTTTATACTCCACATCTGCATTGAGAGTCTAACTGACATCATTTCACTACACACACACACACAAGCACGCACGCACACACACACACACACACACTCTCACACACACACACACACACTGTGTCTCCTCTCTCTCTCTAATCAACAGGATAATGGTGGGAGCCTGGCAGCCTATCTAGGAATCACAGTGTCGACACAGTGGTGATGACATCACCAGCCAGTAGTCCAAAGGTTTGTAACCAGACTTATTTATTAGCCCTGTGAAACAACCAATCACAGCTCCCTCTCATCGACTTCTAGTGATGTCACTGTACTGATAAGGTAATAGTCTCAGAGGGAATTGGGGGAATAAAATCCTGTTCCTATAACCACTTATCTACCGTCAGGGTTTTGCACACACACGCGCGCGCACACACACACACACACACACACACACACGCACACGCACACGCACACGCACACGCACACGCACACGCACACGCACACGCACACACACGCACACACACACATCAGGATAAACTCAGAACCCAAAAGTTGCAATAGTGTTTTGTGCTTTACTATGACAACTCCTTATAATACTCCTTATAGTACTCCTTATAATACTCCTTATAGTACTCCTTATAATACTCCTTATAGTACTCCTTATAGTACTCCTTATAATACTCATTGTAGTACTCCTTATAGTACTCCTTATAGTACTCCTTATAATACTCCTTATATTACTCCTTATAGTACTCCTTATAATACTCCTTATAATACTCCTTATAGTACTCCTTATAGTACTAATTATAATACTCCTTATAATACTAATGATAGTACTAATTATAATACTCATTATAATACTCATTATAATACCCAGTAGAATACTAATGATAATACTCCTTATAATAATCCTTATAATACTCCGTATAATACTCCTTATAGTGCTAATTATAATACTCCTTATAATACTCCTTGTAGTACACCTTATAATATTCATTATAGTACTCCTTATAATACTCCTCATAGTACTAATTATAATACTCCTTATAATACTCCTAATAGTACTCCGTATAGTACTCATTATAGTACTCCTTATAGTACTCCTTGTAGTACTAATTATAATACTCCTTATAATACTAATTATAATATGAATTATAATACTCCGTATAGTACTGCTTATAATAACCCTTATAACACTAATTATAATACTCCTTATAGTACTAATTATAATACTCCTTATAGTACTAATTATAATACTCATTACACTATTCCTTATAATACTATTTATAATACTCATTATACTACTTCTTATATTACTCTGTATAATACTCCTTATAATACTCATTATATTACTCCTTATAATACTCATGACAATACTCCTTATAATATGAATGATAATACTCATAATACTACTCGTTATAGTACTTCGTATAATACTGCTTATAATACTAATTATATTACTCCTTATAATACTCATTATGATACTCATGACAATACTCATTGTGATACTAATTATAATACTCATTATACTACTCCTTATAGTAATCTGTATAGTACTGCTTATAATACTGCTTATAATACTAATTATAATACTAATTATAATACTAATTATAATACTAATTATAATACTCCTTATAATACTCCTTATAATACTCCTTATAATACTCCTTATAGTGCTCCTTATAATACTCCTTATAATATTAATTATAATACTAATTATAATACTAATTATTATTATTATTATTATTTTATTAATTTTTAATTATAATACTCCTTAAAATACTACTTATAATACAGAAATAAAGTAAACTGATACTGCAGATACATTAAGTCGAATATGACAGACAAATATATCCTAACAAAAATTATAAAACCAGTAAGATTCTGAAAAAATAGAATTTGTTTGATTACTACATAATTCACATATTAAAGCATGGTTTTGGTTCAGTGCTGTTATCTATTGACAGACGGGGGGTTGCATGTGACCGGCAGTGAGTGAGTCAGTGTACTTTTGTTTTAGAAGAGAGCGTGGGGGGAAATAAAACTTTGCCCTTTACGCAAGCTGTGTGTTGACAGCATCAAAGATGACAAGGTGATACAGAGACCAACAGAGAGTCACTGTTGGACTGTTTGGACAGTCAGACCAGGCTAACAGATTATCTAATAGCTAATGGTTTAACTGGAAAGGAGGAACACTGCTACTCAGCAGCTTCCTGTTATATAGACTGGGGTTGGAAAACACATCTGTGATAGTGGGACACATGTTGCTCAGTAAAACACATCTGTGATAGTGGGACACATGTTGCTCAGTAAAACAGATCTGTGATAGTGGGACACATGGTGCTCAGTAAAACAGATCTGTGATAGTGGGACACATGGTGCTCAGTAAAACAGATCTGTGATAGTGGGACACATGGTGCTCAGTAAAACAGATCTGTGATAGTGGGGACACATGGTGCTCAGTAAAACAGATCTGTGATAGTGGGGACACATGGTTGCTCAGTAAAAACAGATCTGTGATAGTGGGACAACATGTTGTCAGTAAAACAGATCTGTGATAGTGGGACACATGTTGCTCAGTAAAACAGATCTGTGATAGTGGGACACATGTTGCTCAGTAAAACAGATCTGTGATAGTGGGACACATGTTGCTCAGTAAAACAGATCTGTGATAGTGGGACACGTTGCTCAGTAAAACAGATCTGTGATAGTGGGACACATGTTGCTCAGTAAAACAGATCTGTGATAGTGGGACACATGTTGCTCAGTAAAACAGATCTGTGATAGTGGGACACATGGTGCTCAGTAAAACAGATCTGTGATAGTGGGACACATGGTTGCTCAGTAAAAAGATCTGTGATAGTGGGACACATGGTGCTCAGTTAAAACAGATCTGTGATAGTGGGACACATGTTGCTCAGTAAAACAGATCTGTGATAGTGGGACACATGGAGCTCAGTAAAACAGATCTGTGATAGTGGGACACATGTGCTCAGTAAAACAGATCTGTGATAGTGGGACACATGGTGCTCAGTAAAACAGATCTGTGATAGTGGGAACGCTAACAACAGTGGCTGCTCAGTAAAACAGCTTTTAACGTTGTAGTTACAAACACTGTGGGGACACATTCTCTAATCTCAAAGCAACGTGAACTCATCAACATCACTGGATATGTAGCACTGTCAGTAACCCAATGCAGACACAGACCCTCGGTGCAAAAACAGAATCAATGTTATTGCACTGTTCTAAAAACATCTTCATCAATTTTAAAACATGATTATGTCTAGGGTTAAATGGTTGTTTCATAACAATTGTATAGTATTCACAAGTAGTGTTGCACAATGTAACACAGATCGTGATAGTGACACATGGTTCTCATTAAAAAGATCTGTGATAGTGGACACATGGTGCTCAGTAAAACAGATCTGTGATCGTGGGACATGTGCTCAGTAAAACAGATCTGTGATAGTGGGACAATGGTGTACTCAGTTAAAACAGATCGTGATAGTGGGACACATGGTGCTCAGTAAAACAGATCTGTGATAGTGGGAAACATGTTGCTCAGTAAAACAGATCTGTGATAGTGGGGACACATGTTGCTCAGTAAAACAGATCTGTGATAGTGGGACCCACATGTTGCTCAGTAAAACAGATCTGTGATAGTGGGGACCACATGGTGCTCAGTTAAAACAGATCTGTGATAGTGGGACACATGTTGCTCAGTAAAACAGATCTGTGATAGTGGGACACATGTGCTCAGTAAAACAGATCTGTGATAGTGGGACACATGTTGCTCAGTAAAACAGATCTGTGATAGTGGGACACATGTGCTCAGTTAAAACAGATATGTGATAGTGGGACACATGGTGCATCAGTAAAACAGATCTGTGATAGTGGGACACATGGAGCTCAGTAAAACAGATCTGTGATAGTGGGACACATGTTGCTCAGTAAAACAGATCTGTGATAGTGGGACACATGGTGCTCAGTAAAACAGATATGTGATAGTGGGACACATGGTGCTCAGTAAAAACAGCTTCTTATACTGTAGTTTACAACATTGGCTAATCTCTAATCTCAAAGCAACGTGAACTCATCAACTCACTGGATAATGTAGCACTGTCAAATAACCCATGCACACAATACCTCCTGACAAAAAACTAAATAATTTATTTACTTTTCTAAACAACTCCTCATCATTTTAAACTGGTTAATGTCTGGGTTAATGGTGTTTTCATCACAATGTAACTAATTATTCACATAAGTAGGCCTGCTTCACCTTAAAATGGCCTTAATCCACAGATTCAAGACTATTATCCACAATTGGATATTTCCAATCCAATATAACATTTATTCCAATACTGGATATATCCAGTTTAATATTAATCCAATAATCCTATTCAATCAATTAAAGTGAGATTTCCTTCTAAATACACATCTACTAACTACACATCACACTAGGTATATTTGTATCTGTTGAGCATTAATACATGTTATTTTGTTTGTTTTTGTTTTGTTTTTGACATACCATAGTTTTGGGTCCCTGTGCACAATGTTGTCAGAGTCTGACAGTGCATCCCATTTGACCCAATCACGGAGTGCTCTCTACTGGCACCTGTAAGGGAGGAGACACACAGGGAAAAGGCTTGGTGTGGTGATCTGTTCTCTAGGCCGCTGTGTGCTTTAGCCGACCACAACATTAGGATAAATACACACTAATTTATTATTACACTGCATTTGAAATGCCGTCATTAGGATTCCCCTGCAGTGTACATGAGATAGAAACCACACATAAATACTGTACTTCACTCTTCAAGGTGGATTTTAAAATATAAAAAAAATCAATAAGGCAGGAGATCTTGTTGACTATTAATTTATCGATAATGTCACCATTTCTGGATGAGAGCACCTAGGAATATATGCAAATATTCAAACATCAAGCCTAACCGACAGGTACGAGCTGGAAACCCGCCCACTGCCACACTCAATTTATGCATCAAATACCAGGAATATCACATTTTTAAAACAGTTGATTTTAGGCTGCAATAATACTCTCACACACGTTTATGTTCAGTCTTTCTCAAAGTGCACTGTCAAGCCAACAGACAGGGCAGTCTTTGGTCTGAGAATAGGTTGAAGCGGGTGTTATGAGAGGAGACGGCTTGCAGAGATAGCTCCGCTGATGGGAAGAAGGTATCACTCCGCCTGCTTCTTCAGCATTCCTGGAACGGCTCCGGATCAGGTTCTATAGATCAATGCGATCTGGGTCCACACGTTTATGTTATTGTTGTCAGCATTAATGCCCTTTTAATCTTGTGGGGATTATCGCCATTGATCCACTGCCTAACAGATTTGTTTGAAAAAGTGACATAGCCGCATGACTAACTGAAAGACAGGAGCGACTGAAAGACAGGAGCGACAATAAACAAAATGTGTCTTGTCTTATGTCTGAGCTTGGTCTTGTGTTTACGTTCGTTAGTCATGTTTCCCTTTGTTTTCTGTCCCCAAGTATATACAATTAACATAATTTTCCTTTAAGTAAAGATGTAACTATGTAATTTAATGCTGCATGTGATTTTGAAAAACTATTTTAGTTTGTGTCTAATTTACATTTACATTTTTACATTGTCGTCATTTAGCAGACGCTCTTATCCAGAGCGACTTACAGTTAGTGAGTGCATACATTTCACAGTGACGCCAGAGGAATATTGTGAAACATTATGAAACGTAGCCTACTACTGCCTTTTATTTCACAACATATGGAAAGATATTAGCCTACTGATAATGTTTCTGTATGTAGAAATTGTTCTAGTGTTGTAACATAGCTATTTTTCGCTAAATCTCCACAATTTCGACATTTTATTTAAACACCTAAATAAAAGCCTTAGCCTATAGTATATATAAATATACAAAATAAAATGTTCGATAGTCTATAGTTAAGGTGCATTATTATGAAATGTTGGTTTCTTATTTCTTTATAGGCCTTTTAATTTGTTTATTGTGCATATATATATATATATATATCCACTCATTCCTTAATTCTTAAGTAGGGTTTAAGATCCACCTGGTCGATCTCAACCGTCCATAATTCTATCATGAAGCCTGTCGCTTGTGATTATTTATTTGGTCGCGTTAGTTCAGCTGGACTGCGAGTTGTATATCAATGATGTCGGCCAGGCTAGCTGTAACAGGGAATGTTGTCGGGTCCGTGGCAGGCACCTCGAGATGTCAGGCAGGACCCAGCGCAGCCTGATTACATGCAGCAACGTGAGTGCCCGTGGAAGAAGCTTGAGTCAAGTGTCACGTTTGATTTGACCAAACTAATAAAGCCGCAACGAGGCCATTTTCCCTGTGCTGAAACCCTGCAGCGAAAGACACCTGAAGCTTTTCCATTCCCTTCGTAGAAACTGTTGTATCAAATAATTAGTATACGACCAACAGCTACTGCAATGGTTGTTTTTGCCTATATGCCTATTGATACGCCTGTAAGCAAACGATATACATTTATTTTATATAAGGTGATTAATTGGACAGTAAAAACATTACGCATTTCCAATTGCATTACAACCACGTATTTCACATAATTCTATGATTTAGCATTTTCAATCCCGTGATATTTATTTATTTCATTACACCTGCAGCACAACGAACAACGAACAAAAGCCTCGCGCCCTGCTCCACATTTAGCCTAGCTGGTTAACCCGAGACAAGGTGCCGTTTTGTGCTCGAGCTGTCGGTCACGCCGAGATTTCTATCAATAATTCATTGAGACCCGCGCGCTGCAGCTTCTGTTCGTCTTTTCAATTCCCTGGCTGCTGCCTCGCACCGAGCGGATCACATAATACCTTCCCCCAAAGCCCTGAGCTGCATGGCCGCAGAGTTACCGCCATCTGTAAGCTATAGGAAGAAGGGAAGGCCTTTCCCCTATCATATAGGCTAGCAATGATAAGCTATATTTGGTGATAATTTAATGGGTGGCAATTATTCTACAATCGTTCCATAACTAATACGAATATTAAAAAGCCCTGATTCAAAGCCCTGGTGCATTAGGTCCTGGCATTTTACTGTTCATAGAAGGGAGATATATTACAGATAGGATATGGAGCAACCCAATATCTTTCCTGCTAGACAACGTGTTGTCCGGTGTGGCTCAGTTGGTAGAGCATGGCACTTTCAACGCCAGGGTTGTGGGTTCGATTCCCACGGGGGACCAGTACAAATTAAAATGTAAGTACTCACTACTCAGAGTCGCTCTTGATAAGAGCGTCTGCTAACTGACTAAAATGTATTAGTTATTGCATTATAGTCTCGTCATAAATCGCTTATTCTGATCAATACATTAAGAATTTATATATAAATGATCTCTGACGTTGTAGTTGTTTTGGTCTTACAGTATAGCAGGCTGCATTGTTGATAATGCCCTTTTAGAAAATGCGCATAATTAGATAAATGGATCCACTATTCGCCTCTGGTCTATCTTCCTCTCTAAGTCTCATTTCAATCAGGCAAAATCCCCTTAGATTTAGACAAAACAGTCAACTTTCCACACTATACTTGTGAACACAAATGTTCAGCCTATACGCCTGTAATAGTTAACATTTAGGATGACTTTGCTATATCGAGTTATTAATCAGTGAAGAATAAATAAATAGCCTTTCCTGAAATAATAGTCCATGTTTTTTTTGCTTCAATATAGTCTACTACATATTTAAACAATATAATTTGAGGACCTTGAGAACAGTGAACTAAAAGAAAAACGAGAAACCTTAGTAAATACAATCCACAATAAATTATGAAAGGGAACCAACGGTGGAAGAGAGGGTAATTTTTTTTTCTCGCATTGCCGGAACAAAAGAAAGCCAGTCTTGTCGTTCTACGCGTTCTCGCTAGAGGGGGCACCAGCCTTACTAGACGCCAACCATACATGTATTTTCCCCGTTTTCAACGCGTCTCTGGCTTTTGATTGGAAAAAGCTCATCACACTCAACAGCACTTTCGCATTCTCTGTCTGAAACTGTATCCATGTATTTTTCTCTCGTTTCTCTCCCTCTCCTTGACAGAACACCCACAGAAAAAGTACAAGCAATGCATTTACACAGTATTCCTTAAGCTGCTGACTACAAGTGTAAATATGTCTATTCCATTTTTACAAAAATACAATAACATTTATAAAGAATTAATATGCCTCCCCCATAAAATCAAACGTCAAAATTGTTTATAATTATTACGATTTTGAGGGGTGTTTCAAATTAAGGGACTGGTGCTGTTTTCAGCGCTGCACATGTTGAAAAGCGGTTGTATCTATCTATTTTTATAAGAAAATAATATAAAAATGAAAATATTACCACACGTGATATTTCATCAGAAGAACTTGCTCGTCACTAAAAGAGAATTCCCCCAAAAGGTTTAGGCTACACTAAACACAGAATATTAACACCATAAATAGCTTATTATTAAATAGAGAAATAATATTGGAGATAAAAAAAATGGACCTTGTCATTGATATCGATTGTTATTATGGATCAATAATAACAATACTACTGTAATTTAGACGAAATTCATTCATCTAGGCTTCGGAGCAGTGAGAGGTATAGATATATATATATATATATAGAGAGAGAGAGGTATAGATTGATAGAGAGAGAGAGAGAGATAGATAGATAGATAGATAGATAGATAGATAGATAGATAGATAGATAGATAGATAGATAGATAGATAGATAGATAGATAGATAGATAGATAGATAGATAGATAGATAGATAGATAGATAGATAGATAGATAGATAGATAGATAGATACTGAACTGTGTTTTAGTGCAAGGCTATTGCCTGACTACGAGCAGAGGAAGGCAGGCGGACAGGCAGCAACCAGCAGCAGAGACGGATCTGTTTTTATTGAGGATACCTTGTCTTACCTGCAAGCCGTAGGGCCGACATCCTCTGAAACTCGGGTTCCTGTAGCCACTTCCACATCCTTCGAAAGGTCTCCCTTCCAGATTTAAGTTTACTCCAAGGTTTGGGGTTCCTTAAGAGGTCTGAAAGGGTGCCTTGCGAGCGACACAGCACCCTCTGGGCGAATATAGCCTGGGGGATGCTATACCGCTTCAGTTCGGCTGTGATCCTTTGTGCCACTTCTTTGGTGTTGATCTCTTCAAGCTGCCCCGAGTTGTTACCTTGTTGTCCCGAGGAGGAGGGCGGTCTGTCCCGGTTGGAAGCCAACACAGGCCCGTGGGATTGAGAGTGGCCCGGGTGCCCGCTGTGGTGCATCCCGTTCAAGTGCGGCATCATACCTGCCGTGGGGCCACCGAGGCCTCGTGAGAGGTGCTGATCCCCCCTGGCTAGCATGGCAGTGTGGGCATCGAAGTTGGAGCTTAGCATCTTGTCGTGCCCATGTGTGCCATAGTTGTGGAGGCTTTGCTGGGTATTATGAATGGAGCCCAAGCCATTGCCAAGAGGGCTGCTGGCCAGGGGGGATAAGCTCTGACCCATCCCGGTCATGTCCTTATGATAGGGACTGTAGAGGTTGTTCATTGCTGGTAAACACCTCTCGTCCCTCATCAGCGTGAAACTCCCGCTTACATTCCCAGAGAGACGCTGGTGGTGGTGGTGGTGGTGATGCGGATGGTGGAATTTGTCCGAAACGGTTGAAATGGGGGGTAAGGGTTGAAGTGGAGTTAACGTGGTGTATGTGCCGTTCATGCCCATCCCCGGTGGGGACGTATCACACGGCATGCTCATAGCGTGATGGAGCGGGAGAGACAATTCTGGTCGGTACTCTCCGGATCCGTCCAGAATCGTTGCCATGCTGGACACCATGACGGACCGCGACGATGCCGCAGCCAGATCCTGATGTAACCGCAAAGAAGCCCCCGCGTTCCGGGTGTGATGGGGGCTGTGGCTGTTCATCAAGTCCTGGTCATGGCTCAGTCCGCCATGCAGATTGCCAATGCTGTCCATTGTCATCTCTGGGTTCATGCCGTAAGCATCCAGATCCTTGGCCAGGCATCGATAGGCGTTATAGGCAGTCTTCATTCAGCCCTCATTCAGTCCATTGATCTATTTAATATTTTGTGCCGGGATGGGTTTGCCAATTCCTTCGGTTTCTTTTCTCTAAGGCCTCTCGGTTTTTGTTTTTTTTTATAAATAAAAAATTACCGATCTCTATCAGACGGGCCAGTGCTGAGTCTTCCTATATCCATGTCCGAGCCCTCTCCTCCTCCTACGTATTCTGTTTAGGGAGCTGGAACTGTCCAGGATGGGCTTGCTGAACGGACAGCCTAACCCGCTGGCGGGGAGGGGATTCTTTGTTAAGGAAGGCTCATTTGACCACCCACAGTCGCTCTTTGGTTTAAACAAAGGCTTTTCATTGGCTGCCTCTCCATATCCATGTTTACTGGGTAGAGTGCCAGTCAGCTATAAGGGTTGGTAGAGATTTATACGCATCTCTTGCATCTGGAGTGTAATGTCAGAAAGTATAAATGTCTTCTCAAACCCTCTCTGTAACCCTCTCTGTAACTCCTCTCTGTAACTCCTCTCTGTAACTCCTCTCTGTAACTCCTCTCTGTAACCCTCTGTAACCCTCTCTGTAACTCCTCTCTGTAACTCCTCTCTGTAACTCCTCTCTGTAACTCCTCTCTGTAACTCCTCTCTGTAACCCCTCTCTGTAACTCCTCTCTGTAACTCCTCTCTGTAACTCCTCTCTGTAACTCCTCTCTGTAACTCCTCTCTGTAACTCCTCTCTGTAACTCCTCTCTGTAACTCCTCTCTGTAACCCTCTCTGTAACCCCTCTTGTAACTCCTCTCTGTAACCCTCTCTGTAACTCCTCTCTGTAACTCCTTCTGTACCCTTCTGTAACTCCTCTCTGTAACTCCTCTCTGTAACTCCTCTCTGTAACTTCTGTAACTCCTCTCTGTAACTCCTCTCTGTAACCTCCTCTCTGTAACTCCTCTCTGTAACTCCTCTCTGTAACTCCCTCTCTGTAACTCTCTCTCTGTAACTCCTCTCTGTAACCCCTCTGTACTCTCTGTAACTCCTCTCTGTAACTCCTCTCTGTAACTCCTCTCTGTAACTCCTCTCTGTAACCCCTCTCTGTAACTCCTCTCTGTAACTCCTCTCTGTAACCCCTCCTCTCTGTAACTCCTCTCTGTAACCCTCTCTGTAACTCCTCTCTGTAACTCCTCTCTGTAACTCCTCTCTGTAACTCCTCTCTGTAACTCCTCTCTGTAACTCCTCTCTTGTAACTCCTCCTCTCTGTAACTCCTCTCTGTAACTCCTCTTCTGTAACCTCACTCTCTGTAACTCCTCTCTGTAACTCCTCTCTGTAACCCCTCTCTGCTAACTCCTTCTGTAACTCCTCTCTGTAACCCCTTCCTCTCTGTAACTCCTCTCTGTAACCCTCTCTGTAACTCCTCTCTGTAACTCCTCTCTGTAACTCCTTCCTCTCTGTAACTCCTCTCTGTAACCCTCTCTGTAACTCCTCTCTGTAACTCCTCTCTGTAACCCCTCTCTGTAACTCCTCTCTGTAACTCCTCTCTGTAACCCTTTCCTTTCTGTAGCTCCTCTCTGTAATTCCTCTCTGTAACTCCTCTCTGTAACTCCTCTCTGTAACTCCTCTCTGTAACTCCCATTTAAATCCTCTCTATAACCCCTCCTCTCTGTAATTCCTCTCTGTAATTCCTCTCTGTAACTCCTCCTCCCATGTAACTCCTCTCTGTAACCCCTTCCTCTCTGTAACTCCTCTCAGTTTTACTTTATTGATAACATTGGCTAAATAGGCATATGGTCAACATTGGTCCATGAATAGATATATTTGAATAGATTTTGCGTATAGGCTTACAATAACAAACATAATTTAGAATTGTCAACTTAGGATGACCAGTGGGTGCATCATTAGATTAATAAATTGCACTTTCATTATTCATGTTATGGTTAATGTTGTAATAATAAACCAGTTCTAGCCTACAGTTCTGGTCCTCTGTAGCTCAGCTGGTAGAGCACGGCGCCTGTAACGCCAAGGTAGTGGGTTCGATCCCCGGGACCACCCATACACAAAAAAGGAATGCACGCATGACTGTAAATCGCTTTGGATAAAAGTGTCTGCTAAATGGCATATTATTATTATTATTACAGTGGGCTTTAGTTAGGTTATGTCAACAAAGATTTATAGTCATAATGTCTACATTCCTACTGCTTTGGTAATTTGACAAAAGATAGAGATATAGAGCAATACAACATAGACCTATGAGCTGTAACTGTAATGGTGATGGTATGACTTAACAAGAGTAACATGCTAAAACAAAGTGCAGATAGCCTTCTGTTCACTTTTCATTACATTTCCAAGGTCAGTCGCTGAAAACTAGACCAAATTCTCTCTCTCTCTCTCTCTCTCTCTCTCTCTCTCTCTCTCTCTCTCTCTCTCCTCTCTCTCTCTCGTCTCTCTCTCTCTCTCTCTCTCTCTGTCTCTCTCTCTCTTTTTCTCTCTCTCTCTGTCTCTCTCTCTCTCACTCACTCTCTTTTTCTCCACTCTCACACAGGCACACACTAACAAAACTTGAAACACACACACCCAATCACCCTTATACATTCTCTCTTCTCCACCATACCCAGGCCTGTTCAAGTTTACCCAATCACCCTTATACATTCTCTCTTCTCCACCAAACCCAGGCCTGTTCAAGTTTACCCTTATATATTCTCCACATCTTTGTCTCTTTGGTCTTTCAAGGCAGGCAGGCAGTTGTACTCTCAGTGTGATGTCTAAATTCACCATTATAATTGGGTGACACAGAAACGTATTTTGAGAGCACGGAGAGATGGCACAAAGAAACAGCACTGGTCCCATTTGGTTTGAACAGAACAGATTTAAAAGTAACAGATTTCTCGGAAGCCGCAGTTGCTTTTGGGTCGGGAGGCTGCTATTTTGTTTGGAAGTTGCGCAGATGTTGCTTTGTTTGAAGACACTGTAATTAAGGAATAAGGACAGAAGTCTGAAAAGCGTGACCTATTTGTCTTTTGATCCGCTGTCAAAGGAGGAGCAGGGGGTCTCTTCGAGCACGGGCCTCTTCCAAACTTTCAGCTAGCAGCAGACGAGACCGCAAATTGGGGGAACAACAGTATTGTACCTGTGGGGCCTTTCCCCCTTTGTTGGTCGTTTGGACAGCGCGTGGTGCACTGCACCGACACAATTACCTTCCGCGGATATTATGATTGAATGATCAACAAACGTTTAGGCTCGCTTTGCTTTCACATCTTTTGAGACGATTTTTTGTATATATATCCATGTTGGGACTACAACCTATGCGTCGAAATACTTCCTGCTGGAAATTGTTTACAGTAGTCAACAAATCAATGTAGGCTTTTGTAAAATGGGGCCGAATCAACGTGGTTTCTAAGCTATTCTATATCTGGTCCTTAGGTCTACTTTATATGACCGATTAGCCTACATTTCCCCCAATGTATGGAGAGAGAAAAAAATGGTTTGTGTGCTGACTACTCTGTACAGTAATTTATCTAATATACAAATCACAATACTGAACTAATTGACATTCTCTGTGAAAACTAGGCTTATATATTTTTTATTCTAATTTGTAGCCTGGGTCTATATCAATTGAAGAACCGAAAGATTACATTTTTCTGTAAAGTCACAAGTTTCCAAAGACATTCTGCTAAATGAAGAATGATTACGATTAGCCTAGAAAGTAGACTAATATTAATATTAGCTGCCTATACAGATACACTAAAATCTGTCAGAAAACAAGATAGGTGCAAATATAGTCGGCCACAAATTCAAATCCAATCCCCCTCACAGATTATACCTGAAAGTCTAAAATCAGTTTAACATGTAGGCCTATAGATAATAAAACATAATGCGCAAGTCCCTCTGAGCATGGTAGTTTCTAAACCAAAAGGAAAGATAATGTATAAAATATAAGCCTGAATAATTCTGGGTTGATTGCGACATTTGTTTCTTATTTTTGTTCTTTCATTTCTGTCCTGGTCTTTCCTGCCATCTGCTCAGCAAGTGCACTAGGCTAGTATTGATTAGAATCATTGTGCTGCGGAGCCCATGCTAATCTATACCGTTACTGGCAATCAGTTGGCGCTTTGCATTGCATCTGTTCCTACGCTGCTTATAGCTAGCCGCGTTGTGAGTCCATGACACAGCACCCGATGCCTTGTTCACCGTTTTCAGAAGGCGTTAGGTAAGTGTCCCACATTCCTTTGTTACCAGCCCGGGGTTCTTGCTTATGATGTTGTTATCATTGCATTCGTGGACTAAACATACAATGAGCAGCTCTTAAACGAAGGGTAGAGAAAAGGAAAGCTTCACCAGTCTAGTGACGAGAGAGAGAGAGAGAGGGGAGGAGATCGCGGTAGTTAGGCCGGGGTTCTTTCTATACGATGGCTGCCAGCACTTGACTGACTGACTGGCGGGGAGACGCACTCAGTCCTCTATGGGCTATGCAGAAGTATGTGATGTATCCTAATGTGCGTGTTCGCAATGTGTGAAGAACCAAGTCGATCTTCAAAAGCTATTTGTTTCAATTTAAAGTCAGTGTAAATTGTATACCAAAGAAAATTAGAGAATCATTAGAATGGCTTGGTTGAACTTTAGTGGGACACAGTTATTTCCATTCAATCACAAATAGGCTGCTCTTAAAGTGTGTGTCCAATGAATCCTAGCTTAAACCATTAAAAAAATATGCACTAATGCTACTTTAGGATTAATGCAACTTGAAGTCATAAAATAGATTATAAATATGTGATGCACGTCTTAATGTGTTATTATTACCATTATAATTGTAATCCATTATAATAATATTATCATTACGATGCTTGTTATTATGCATGTATTATTATTAATATTATTATTATTATTATTATCATTATTATTATTATTATCATTATTAGGCCTACGACTTACATTGCGTTAATCAGCCAGTAATGTTTTGGTATGCATAGGCTACTAATAATAGCTAACATCTGATAGGCCTGCAGCTGGTTTGTGAAATTCTTGGATTTTCTTTTTTTTTTT